ACATGCAGAAAGCCTGAGCGGTAGCAGCCGCAGTTGACGCTGCCTGCGTCTTACCTGCGCATGCAGTATTTGGAACCGACCCCTATGTTCACCTTTGGAGGGGGGTGCACATGTGATCCCCCCCCTCCACCACTCCCCTCTTTGTAAGGAAAGCCCTGCTGGATCAGAGCAAAGGTCCGTCTCTGGTCCAGCGTCCCTCTTTCCGACGGCGGCCGGCCTCTCCAAAGCCCAAGGACTGGGGCAAAAAGGCAACGGGGACCTGGCTCCTTTGGCTTCTTCCCAGCCTCTGGTGCTCGGAGGTAAACTGCCTCTGCGCCATGGAGGTCCCATCAATCCAAAACAGGACAAAAGATTGAGCACTGGCAGATCTGCCTGCACGACAGAACACGGTCGAGAGTAGCAGACAGACTGCCCTGAGCCAAAAAAGATCCTCAACCTGATGAGGCAGGCCAGAGGGGACTTTAACTGGCTTTTCGGGTCACGTAACACCCCCACACACAGGGGGACTGAAAGAGGTTAATATTTCCTTCCAGCCACCTGCAGACACTCCAGAGCAGTCAAATGAAGACTGGCCGTCCCCTATGTTTGCATGTCCCAAAGGAAGAAAGAAGGGTGCTTTTGGTCCTGCTGCCCCAGCTCAAGGCCCTCCTCAACTCCTCCCCTGGCCACGCTCCCCACTGGGCACCTCGCATTTCCCTGGTGGTACAGGAAAGAGGTGCTGCAGTGGCTACCACACGGTCAAGGGTAACTGAAGGGCTCCCTGAAAGAGGCCCTTTGGCTCCTGACTTGACCCTGACAAAGCAGGCTGGGAAGAGAGACATTCTGTACGGCCCGGGTGCAGGGAAAGTTCAGGTCTTCAGGACGGAGAGAGAGAGAAGGGGGTAAGGGAAAATGTCACGGGTTTGGGGAGTGGTGCTGGTGAGGAACGGGAATGCTACTCTTCGTAACTCCGTGTGGCGCGTGGCGCTTTTTCCTGACCGCCGAGTACTTCTTGCAGCCGTAAGCGGGCCGGAATCCAGTGCTGTGCACGCTCTTGGCTTTTGGGCTTTTGTTTTAAATTTAATTTCTATTCCAGGGCAATCCAAACACAGTGCCAAGGAAACTGGAGTCCAGCCACCTGCTCGGAATTATTCTCACTGAGTAAACCTGCAACGAAATTCCAGTTTTGGGGGGGTAGTCACATGGAAAAAGCTTTGCGCCACCAACAACCGGGAATCTCATTCCAGTAAGAGTCAGACACAGACATTCAAGCACCACAGCATGGGAACTAGACTCGTGCCCCCCCTAGGGTTGCTAAATCCTCTTACCCCTCTCGATGGGGGAGCGTCGCCGCGGTCCAGGAGTCGCTCGTACGTGCGCGCGCGCCGGCAGCACATCGCCGGAAGTGACGGGTGACGTGCTGACGTTGGGGGCGTGGCTGAGCTCGTCGGAGGGGGAAACCATATGGTTTTCCCCTCCGACGAGCTTAGCCACGCCCCCAACGTCGGCAACATGCAGCTTGGGGGGCGGGGTTCCCCCCGGGCCGGAATTCCCCTCCGCCGGAGCCAGAGGGACTCCGGTGCTTTTGAGCCGCCCTTTGCCCCTTTGCAGCCTCTAACACCCCAGACGGGTCCAGCTGGGAGACCCTCTGGACGAAGTTCCAGTGTCGCTGCGTCTGGGAGGGGAAAGGTGGAGCTCTCCCACATTCCTTTATGTGGTTGGGTGTGTGCATAAAAATCTCTAGATCCAGGCTTTTAAATGCTTAGTTGTATTTTTAAAAACCCACAGGATTAAAAAAAAAGAGGAATAAAAATAAATAAATTATAACAATGTTGAAATCACTTCCTCGGTTCTCAACGAATTAAATATAAGCAGCAACAGTACTCCCAACTGGAGAGAGAATAATAGAGCAAGATGATCCACTCTCCGCTAAGTCTTCAATTCCTTGTGCTAGCGTCCCCCCTTTAATTTTTACCTCCAGCCTCACCCCCCCAACCATAAGCTAAATATTCTCCAAAGCAAATGGTCCCTAAGCGCTCACCTACCACCCTGCATCCCCAAAAGACCCCCACATCCAAATGGGGTTTTTATTTTTAAACACCCCACCCCAGTGCGCATATATTTAAATTAAGGCCATTTTGTAAAATATTTACTTACAGGTTTATTGATACACAAAAGCTCTCCTATATACAGGTGTCAGTTGGTTTCGTTTAGCAGAAAGGAAGGGAGAGAGACAGGAAGGGAGGAGAAGGAAATGAGCAATCTCTCCTCCTCGACGCAGTCGCAAAGTTTGAGAGCCGCAGATCTTCCCCAGAACTAGATGTTGTATCCTTTAATTTTGGCTCAGCGTGTGTTTTTTTTTTTTAAAAAAAGGACCAACGGCTAGTAAGTACTTTAAAAATGCAAGAAGTCAAGAATGGGACTGGTGGGGGGGGGGGGGAAAGAGAGAGATGGAGAGCAAAAAGAAGGGGACTGGTGGGGGGGGGGAGAAAGAGAGAGATGGAGAGCCAAACGAGAGCTGGATTCTAGCGGCAATGTTGCCCAACAGGGCAGAGTGCGGGGTCGGGGGGGGGGTCGGGCTCTTCACGCCTTTGCAACCCCAAAGAACCAACTCAGTGCTGGCGGAGGCCAAAGGAGATGAGCCCTCCCAACACTGTGGCTTCAGCCGACGTGTGAAACAAGAGATCAGCTAAGCTTCACATCTCGTTGTCGCTGTTTTTTAAATCAAATCGAGGCATCCTTCCTGCACACAAAAGGAAGCCACAGCAAACTTGAAATAAGGAGACCACTGGGAGTACTCATAGGAGGCTCAGGCTAAAATACTGTTTAAAAAAGGGGGAAAGTCTTCCTCGGGAATCAAAAAGGGGAAGGGGGGGAAATCTCATCAAGAAGAGCTACACAGAAGAAGTTACAAGACTGTACATAATAAAAACCAAAATGAACGAAAACACAAATCTATTGTCACTTTTCTTTCCTTAGTGCAAAAAAATGAAGGGGGAAAAAAACAATGGCACAGATGAAATGTTGGGCAAACGTGTACTCAGAAGGGGGATGGGGGACGGCGTGGGGAGGGGGGGTCCTGGGAGTACACAGAAATCTAGCTACCACTCTGAGAAGGGGGGGGAAGAGGATATCAGGATTTGAACCAACAGCGGCTCCTGAATGGGGGTACCCACGGGACACCTGCAGGGGCTCACGCTCTGCATGCCCAGTTCTCAGCCAAAAGAGGACACCCGCAGGGAAATCAGCCGGGACAGCCCCCTTGAGCCGACAGGCCAGACAGAATGGGTCGAGTAATACTCCCTAACCCCAATTTGGAGGGCTACTGGGTCAGAGCATCCAAGACAGTTTCCACTTCTGCTACCTACAACCCACCACCTCTGCCTCATCTTAACCGTAACTCTCCCCCGGCTCCTCTGACACAAGAAGGAGGGGACTTTGTCTAGTAAGAGTTCCGTGCACGTGATAAAACACATCAATTTTAGAAAGAAGCCTACTCCCGGGAACAAGAAGCAGGACCCACCTGGTTGGCCACGCCAAAGGCGGCTTGGGGGGGTCAGCATTCCACCGAACAGTCGCAGTGCGGGAGTCGGTGGCCGCTCGGAAAGGAGCGATTCCGTGAGGAGCCCCCGGATGAAAAAATCGCACTAGATTGTGGGCCAAGGCCCCCAAGCTTTCACACGGCAAGTCAGAAGAACTAGAGGGGGCCTCAGCCTCAGCACAAGGTGCACAGATAGAGTTGCCAACCCTAGGCTGGGAAATGCCTGGAGATCTGGGAGTGGATTTTAGGGACGGCAGGGTCTGGGGAAGGGAGGGACCCGAGTGGGGTACGATGCCTTAAATCCCACCTTCCAAAGCAGCCGTTTCCTCCAGGGGGGGCTGCCGTCTGGAGATCAGCTGTAATTCTGGAAGATCTCCAGGACCTGCCCGGTGTTCCTTCTAAGCTGAGTTAGTGTGAGATGGCTCACAGTTTTTTAGCCTCCGGCACACAGTTTTTTTTTAAAATCTCAGCTCGGGAAGGAGGGCTCCAGAGCAAACTGATCTATGCAGCAGCCCAATCGCTCGCTCACAACTTTAAGGCCAGGAGCTCACCAAGTAGAATTTTTGCTCACAGGACTCCATAGCTTAGAAGGAACGTTGATGGTGACCCTATGCCCAGAGGACCATTTGTGCCTGGCTCAGGGCTGGCCCTTCTCACAAAAGAAACAAAGGAAACGGAAATGCCTCCTCCCCATTGTCTCAAGCCAATTCGCTGGCAAAATTCGCCCTGGGTGTCGAATTATGTGTACTGCGGGAGAGGGAGTTCTTTCTTCTTCCACTGAAAATTACCCAGCTACAACCCCCCCCCTCCTTCATTGCGTACGACTCAGGTCTCCTTTGGTGAAAGGGGCACAACAGCTTCTACAGGTTGTGCCCCACCACCCCCAACATCTAGTGCAGGGGCTCCCGTTCTTTTTGAGCTTGCAGGCACCTTTGCAATTCTGACACAGTGTGGTGGGTGCGGCCACAAGACGGCTGCCGAAAAACGGCTGCTGCAAGAGGTGGAGCCAGCCACAAAATGGCTCACCTTCAGTCACACAGTGAAGATGCTTGTGCTGTGGTGGCACCCACTGTCGAAGCAATTTTTTAAAAAACAAAGAATCCGCACAGCCAATCAATTCTCCCAGTGCCAATCGGAACTCGGCGGGCAAAAGCCCCACCTGGCCTGGCCCACTTCCCAAAAACGCTTGGCGGGCACCGTGTTGGGGACCCCCAATCTACGGGAAGGTAGGACCCCCTCGAGAGCACTTCCTGCTGCCCCTTGGAATCCTGCAACCCCCAATGGCTTTGCTGGGTCGTCCTCGCACACTGATCCAGCCCGACTGGATTTAGCTCACTTTTTATGTACTAGCCGGATAACTTCATGCACAATACAGAGTTTATACCAGACAGAAATTACACCTTCCATGCAAAAGGTTGCATGTTCTTAGAGAGATAAGAGGTTTTTAAAAAAAAAAAAAAAAAAACAATAATAATAATAATAACAACCGCCATGATGCTCAACCTGCTTCACCAGGTTGCTGATATCACATCCCCTGCAGGTAATGAAATTATGGAAGCCGCATGTGCAATTGAGAAGGGACTGCCCCACCCCCACCCCTTTGACCACAGAATGTTTTCGTATGCTTGCTGTTCGGAAGGGAAGGCCGTGGTCTGTGTGATCTAAGCATGCTTCTCCCCACCCCCACCCCCTGGTTGGTGAATAGCGGTGTTGGTTTTTTCTGGGGGGCCGTGAACAGCTTAAAGTCGCCCCCGGTCATCGCTTAAGGATCTGGATGGGAAGGAAACGGACTCAGGAAAAAAGGGGGGACGGGAAGGTGTAAGACACTGAACCCCTCGGAAAGTACACATAAGCAGCAGATTCGGGAAGCGGTTGTGGACAGTCACAGAGCAAAGACTCCACTGTTTACCCCCATTTCCCCCCCTCTGTAGGGGGAAAGTGACGTCGACAAGAGAGCTTTTAGAATTCACACGGGGAAGGCCGACGTTCATTAAGCCGCCCCACCCCCCCTTCTTCCCCGCAAGCACCCACACTTTCATGCGGAGGTGGCCGTTTCTGTAACAGAAACCAAAGACTTGGTAATTTACATACGGAAATGTAAATAACGACAAAAAACAATATATTAGTAATTTACCTTCTGGACAACTCAGTCCGCCCTGGAAGAAAGGGGGGGGGAGAGATCAACCTCCTCTGCCCCTCCCGCAAAAAGAAATTTTAGTGCAAAGGGTAAAAAGAACCAAATGCTGGAACTTCGGTGGCAGGCAGGAGGGAGGAAAGGAAATGAGGGAGGAGTTGGCAAAGTGTTCTCTCCCAACCCCCGAGGGGTGTGCGATGGGTTAAAGACAGCACCGTGGGGGGAGGGAGGGGGCAGGACAGCATGTCTGCGGGGTGTCGAAATGAGCTCTGCTAATGGAACACGGTGATGCTGCTGCTGCTGCTGCTCTCGGTTGCTCCAAAGCAAGCCGGCCGAGTCCCCCCCTCTCCCAGAATGGCACGGACACTCTGGGATACCGTCCGTTTCTTCTCTCTCTCTCTCTCTCTCTCTCTCTCTCTGCCAGAGGCCCTCCGCCTCTACAGCCGATCCATCCGGAAAGTGTCCTCTGTGGCAGGATCCGCAAGGACCATGTCTGGATCGTTCAGCATGTGCAGCCCGTCCAAGGTCAAGGGGTCGATTTTAAGTTCATCTAGCGGGAACTGCGAATCCGAATCGAAGCTGACGTCCCCCACCCCAGCCAAAGAGTTGGTCAGGTCCTTCGAAAGGCTGGGAGGCGATTCTCCTGTCACTATGGGGGTGGGGAGATGAGAGGGGGGGGAAGAGACGACTCGGGTCAGACCCACCAAAAGCCAGCCAAAAGAACAGCCAATGCTGGACTCTCCAAGCTCAGTCAGATGCCCTTGCCTCACTGTGGAACCGTGGTATTTTCCTCCCTCTTACAAAATACCAGAACTCAAGGGCATCCAATGACGCTGATGGGCAGTGGGTTCAGGATGGACAAAAGGAAATACTACTTTACACAGAGAGGGATTAAAATGTGGAATTGGCTGCCAGAGGATGCTGTGATGGCCACAGGAATAAACAGGTTTAAAGGGGGATTAGATAGATTCATGGAGGATAAGTCTATCAATGGCTACTAGCCATGGCGACTGGGGGGAACTTTCACATTCAGAGGCACTAAGCCTCTGAAACCCAGAGCCAGAAGGCAACATCAGGGGAAGGCCTCAGCCTCTATGCTTGTCGGCCGTCCAGAGGAACTGGTTGGCTACTGCGTGAGACAGGATGCTGGACTAGGTGGACCACTGGTCTGATCCAGCAGGGCTCTTCTTATGTTCTTATGAAGGCCTCGGCCTCTATGCCCTGTTGTTGGCCCTGGTTGGCCACTGTGTGAGACAGGATGCTGGACTAGATGGACCACTGCTCTGATCCAGCATGGCTCTTCTGATGTTCCTGTGAAGGCCTCGGCCTCTATGCCGTGTTGCTGGCCGTCCAGAGGAACGGGTTGGCTGCTGTGTGAGACAGGATGCTGGACTAGATGTACTTATGTTCTTGGAAACCAGCAGAGGGAGAGGCGGCGGAGGCTATCTTGGATGAAGATCTAGTGCCTAGAAGTCAGAAAGTCTCCAGAGATACAGGTGATACCCAGCTGACAACTCAAGAGGGGGCACACCCCCTTGGACCTCAAAGCCTCCAGTCCCCAAGGATATCCCTCTCTGGACACCTAGGTCACTTTTTCCCACATAGACCAATGCACAGCCGGCCACTCCAGGGCTCACAGACAGGGACTTTTCCAGGGTCCTTTCCCCACCCTCCCATTTTCGGCCACTCGGCTATGTGAGTCACCAAAGGGAGTGAGGGGTCGAGATTCTCCACCGGGGGGCAGGGGGGGCGGTGTCTCTGCCAAAGCCTCAGCTGTTGTCCATACTGGGGAGTTAGGGGCTACAGAGTCTTTTGCCCAGATCTTGGATTCCCTGGGAGGAAACCAAGGACCAAACCCAATATGGCTCAGCTGCTATAAATTAGCTGCCAACCAGGGACAGTGGCTCTGTTCTGGCAAAAAGCTCTATGCGTGACACGCTCCAACACACACCAAAAATGATTTTGGACTGTCTCTCCAACTTGCAGAAAGTTGAAGGTGCCACTGGACTTGTTCTACTGCTTCAGACCAACACGACAATGCTCCCTCTAAGCTGTGGAGTCTTGTGAGCAAAAATTCTACTTGGCGAGCTACTGGCATTAACGCTGTGAGCAAGCAATTTGACTGCTAAATAAATTTGTTTGCTCCGGAGCCCTCCTTCCTGAGCGGAGACAAAAATGTGCGAGCTGGAGGCTAAAAAACTGTAAGCTTGCTCACACTGACTCAGCTTCGAGGGAACGCGGCTGACCATCTGAATCTTTCTCCAACCTGCATATGACTAAACTTGGCTTCACCCATCGGTTTCAGCAGCGTTCGGATCTTTTGGGTACCTGCCCTCCCCCTTTTCTCTTCTCCAGCTCTTCCCTATCCACCTCTCTCTGCCTAAACAGCTCCCAAGGTTCAGTAAATGGGGAACACGCGGGCGCGCGCAGTCTCTCTCTCTCTCTCACACACACACCCCTTACAAAGTTCTGGGGGGAGCTGACCTTTCCTGAGTGCCTCACCTGTCAGGATGATGTTTGGGATGTTCCCGTGACTGGCGTAGCTGAGCTGCTGGGAGTCCTGCAGGCTCCCGTGGCTGCCCGTGAGTCCCATCATGGCCGCCTGGGAGTAGTTGAGGGTGGAGCACGGGCTGTACAGGCTGTTGGAGCTGATGGCATTCTCAATCATGTTGAACTGCTCAAGCTGCGGAAACAAGAGAGTGAGCGGCGCACGCCACCCGGCTTGCCCACTGAGTGGTCCTCACGGCAACCCGACACTTGGGTGAGTGTCGGAAGCTTATTGCAGGAGAGCCTCGCTAGGCTGCGGGCACGTGGCCCTTTCATGGTGGATCGTTTAAGAGAAGAAGAGAAGAGACTGGATTTATAACCTTGCCCTTCACTCGGAGTCTCAGAGCGGCTTACAATCTCCTTTCCCCTTCCCCTCCCCACAACAGCCATCCTGTGAGGTAGGTGGGACTGAGAGAGAGCTCTTCTGATGACTGCCCTTGAGGGAACAGCACTGAGAGAACTTGTGACTGACCCAAGGTCACACCAGCAGCTGCATATGGAGGAGTGGGGAACCAGAGTCCGCGCTCCTAACCATTACACCAAACTGGCTCCCCAGAGTAAGAATTGAATCCAAGGGTGGCAATTCTGCCTTGTCTTTAGGTCTGGCTCAGCTCCTCCTCTCAGAGCCCTGAGGATGTCTGGAAAGGGGAGACTGTTTTACTCATTTATTTACTTATTTCACTGAACTTATATATCCCCACCCTCCCCACGTTGTAGGCTCAGGTCGGGTACCAACATGTATATACCTGCCGTCAATGCAGATTTACAATTGAAAATGTATTGCAATAATCAATTAAAACTCATAAAATCGTCAACCTTAATTCAATAGAATCACCAGCATTTAAGTGGCTTTACAGCCATTCTTGGGGGTCTAGGATTGTCTTGGTAGGAATGTTCTCTGGCCCGGCATCAACAGAACCTGGGAGGGGAAATCTGCATTTCCCACCCCCGCTGGTCCCTCCAGCCCTTCCCTCTCAGCACTCGCGTCCTCCTCCCGCCTTGCTGGAACGAGACCTGGAGCCTTCTGTGGCAGTGCTGTCCATCGGGGGACGGGCATTCTGTGTGCCCACCCCTGGCACTGCAGAAACTGCTGTTGCGTGGGGGTTAACCTGGGAACTGAGACCTTGCACAGCATTTGCCTTGGAGGAATTTTTAAATTTTAACGTTTGGGATTTTTCTGAAAACCGAGGGTTTCTAACAAGCTTGTAGGCATTTCTTCCACTTCTGTACTTGGAACCGGCTGCCTGACTCTTCTTTCCAGCAACGGTGTTGGGGGGGTGTGTCAAAAGAGGCACGCTTGCTCACCTGATGGGACAAGGCGTTCGCCTGCCTGGTTGTCATCTGCTGATCGTAACAGGAATCACCAAAGACGCTCCCCAGGATGGATGTTTGCTGCGGAGGCAAGGCACAAGGAAAGCGTCAGCGTTTTGAGGAAGGCTGGCCCACCGAGCATCAAACAAGGAACAAAACCCACTTGCCGAGGGGCCGGATAATGGAGGAGGAGGAGGAGCAAATAGGTGTTGTCAGAAAGCCACTTTGGGTCCCTGCTGGGGAGAAAAGAGGGGTGGCAAAGACCCAGATAATAAACGCATTTCAAAGTGGCAGTTGGGTGGTCCCAAACCAACAACTGAACCTACAAAAAAAAAAAACAAATCTGCAAG